GTTCCCACCCCTCACCCTGGTACCCTGCCTGCACCCTGTACCCACCCCTCACCCCGGTACCCTGGCAGCAGCACCCCGTCTGCACCCATAGCCCCGCCCCCACTCATCACCCCACCCCCACACCCACCTTCTCTCCGCTCATGAAACGTTCCTTTTCCCTGAGGTTCACGTGGTCAATGGACAGGCCCTGCTCTGCACGTGACTCAAATGCCACAGTCCCGTCAGGCCTGGACACCACACGGCCTTTCCTTCCGGTCATCTGCGGGTATGGCAGCGGGCAGCAGGCTGTCAGTGGGACATCCCCAGGGCCCCAGCTGGGGCAGGTGGGTGATTTCAGGGCACTAGCTGGGGTGCAGGTCAACACAGAGGATTCAGGACCACGGCTAGGCTGGGCACACCGGGTCCTGGGGACCGCGGCTAGGCTGGGTGTTGGCACCTGTCTGCAGGGTGTGGGGTGCTGAGGGCATGGGGCTGCCCCTACCGGCTGGACTGGGCAGGGGCTGGGAGGCCAGGTGGTGAGCAGCGGCCCCAGCATGGCACCAGCTGTGAGGCCCTCACCTCTGCCACCCGCTCTGGCCCCCCAAGCTGGTTGATGAGCTCATCCAGGGTGTTGACCGGCAACTCCTGGCCCAGGTCTCGGACCTTGGTCAGCAGATCCTGCTTCAGCCTCTCCACACGTTCTAGGATGCCTGGGCCGTGCGGGTCCCGCTGCAGGGGGCACAGGGGGCCTGGGGGAGGAGGGGTGCAGGGTCAAGGAAAGGCAGAGCGTGGGCAGGGCCGAAGGCTACCTAGCTAGTGCTGGGCTTTGGTGACCTGGGGCAGGCGTGGGGGCCACCTCTCCACCCCGGGGTGGCCCTGAGCACGTCTCGCTGGTCAAACCCTTGAGCACAACAGCCAAGGGGATGAGGGACCCATGCTCACCGCGGTCATCGACAGGCAGGCCAATGGCATCCACAATGACCACGTCATCGTCCACCAGGGACTCGGGGGACGAGTTAAAGTCACTGTCCAGGCCGGGATCCGACTCAGTGCTGCTGTCGTCACTGATCCGGATGACGCCCGCCGCCTCACACACCAGCCGGGGGCCCTTGGTGCCCCGGCACCGTGGTCGCCCTGTGGGAGGGCATGTGGTCACTAGGAGCTGGCCAAGGGTTGGCCGGACCCGGGGGGAGAAGACAACTGTGGACAGAGCCCCAAATGCCGGGGGCTTCTACCCTCTGGGGACCTTGTCTTCAAGGCCTTGGTAGGGAGACTGGGCGATACAGCCACACGGTTCCTCAGGCCCTGCTCTCACCAAGTGCCACAGGGCTGCTAGGCTGCTGTCGGGACGTGCCACCACCACAGCCTCCCCCAGGCCAGCGGGGAGTGTGACACAGCCTCTGACAGTCCAGCGGGGAGCGTGCCACCACCACAGCCTCCTCCGCAGGCAGCTGGTCAGGGGCATCCTCCCACAGCCCTCTCCACAGCCGGACCGGCCGGTGCATGTGGACCGTGCTGCACACTCAGCCTCACCCCTCCACGGGTGCAGAGGCCTCCTCTCACACAGCCCTGCTGGTTAGGCTGGGCGGCCCCAGCTCCGCTGCCCTGTGAGCCTACAGGAGTGCATTGCTCCCCGGCTAATTTCCCATCTCGGAGCTGCTGCTGTGAGGCCTGCCTCTGATCTACAAGGTCAGCGCAGACCAAGCAGTCCCAGGGCCAAGCCTGAGGGCCACAGCACTGAGAGCCTCCCTCTACGGTTTGCTAACGGGGGTCTCCTGCAAGCATGTGGGTGCTGACCATGGGGCAGAGGCTGTGTCCCTCTCAAGACCCTGTTTGTCCATCCTGCACTGCTCATTTGTAAGGGCCACAACTGCCCTGACCTGGAAGTGTCCCCAAGGGCCTAGAGAGGGCAGCAGGAGAGACACAACCGGGAGAGGGAGCAGCTAGTGGCAGCAGGGACAGCAGGACAGTGATGGGGACATGACAGTGGTGGGTTCAGCAGGACAGTAGGGACGGTGGGGCAGTGATGGGGACAGCAGAACAGTTGTGGGTACAGTGGTGGGGAGAGCAGGACGGTGGTGAGGACAGCGGGACAGCAGTGGGAACTGCAGGATGGCAGCAAGGACAGCAGAACAGTGACAAGGACAGTGGAAAAAGGCAGGACAGCAGGATCACGGAGGGGAGAGCAGGACCTCAATGGGCACAGTGGGACGGCAGCAGGACCTCAGTGGGGACGGGGAAGTGTGCTTACGTTTCCTCTTAGTGCCTGTGACTCTGTCCCGCTTCCTTTTGGTTGAAGGAAAGTGCTTCTGAATGAGCGAGAGAAACACACCTCTGGAAGGGAGAGTGGCGTCATGCAGACCTTGGCCAGCACACGGGTCAGACCACCCCTACCCTGACCGGCCGCGTCCCCATCCCACCATTACCCTCCCCCCACCAGGTCCCCAGGTCCCAGTGTGTCCTGCCCCACTGTGTTCCTGTTCCCATTAACCCCTGTCCCCCGCTGTGTCCCTGTCACCACCGCCCTGGCTGCCCTGGGAGGCAGGCTGTGGGGGGTGTTTGCAGGGTCTGACTACAGGGGCGCTGGGGGCTGATAAGGGGGTGCTCCTGTGCTGAGGTTAGTGTGGAGACTGGTGCGGCTCCCATGCAGACACTGATGGACAGAATGAGAGGGAATGGTCTGTGGCCTCCTCGGAACCCTTCCTCCGTCCCCACTGCAGGGGCCCTGGTGAGGGTGGTGTGCACTGAGTTGCCCCCCATCGGTCGGGACGTGGTCACTCACTCGGCTGCAGAGACGAAGCAATCCAGGTGCCCATCATTCTCGTCCAGAACCTCTCGGGTGCGCGCCTCGCCCGTGGACTGCAGTCCAATGACCACACACTGCGGGGAGAGGCGGGCGTCAGCAGTCTGCCGCTGGCAAGGGGTCCACTTCTCTCAGTCCCCCCCAGGCAGTCAGCCCCACACCCTCTTCCCACCCACCCTTCCGGGGCCAGCAGCAGCCAAGCCCGTCTTGTGGCCCTGGGAAGCCCCCAACCTCTGCCCTCAGCTTCTCCTCCACAGCATCCTTCCACCTCCTGGGGTACCACCCCCTATCCCAGGGCTTTCTGCCTGCTCTGCTCGGCCGCCCTCCCTCACTCCCCCGGCACTCGCCTAGACCCCACACCCACTCACCTGCTCCCAGTGCCCCACCGCTTCCTCAGTGCACTCGCCCCCCCCACGCTCCCCTCCCCTCATCTGTGCACTAGCCCCGCCCCCTGCACACGTCCCTCAATCCCTCTGTGCACGCATCTCCACTGTCCACTCATCCGGCCTGCCCCCTGCACCACCCATTCCCTCTGAGCACAGGACTCCTGCTCACGCACTGTGTGCACACCCCCTCGCACCCCTCAGTCCACTTCCTCCATGCTTCTCCCTAGGCCTCCCTGTCCCTCTACTCTCCAGGACCCTTGTCCAGGGCAGGTAACCCTGTGTTTACTAACCAAATCCCACTCCACTAACCCCATCCCATGGCCCACACCCCCCTCTGGTTTACTCCCTGTGACCCCACTCGTGTCCTCCCCTCCTCTTCACACCTTTGACCCTCTCACCCTACCTTGTTGCGGGCCAGCTCCTCACGGGCCAGCTCCACCAGGCGGTGCACCTTGGCCGCGATGCATAGGTACTTGAAGAAGCGCTGGTGGGCAGACCAGAACTGGCCCCAGAGAGACTTGCGGGACTCCAGGCCGATCCAGTCGGCTGCCTGCTGGAACACGCCCAGGGCCTCGGCCCACTACAAGGACGTCAAAGTGGGCGAACAGCATGGCAGGTCAGGGGATGGTGGGTCGTAGAGTCACCTGAGGGTCAGTGGTCCCCTCACCCAGCGGCTCTCACCCGGGGCAGTTCTGCCACCAACACACTCAAGGAGACAGCTGGAGACGATTGTATTAGGACTTGGGGACCTACTACTGGGATCAAGTGGGAGGAAATCAGGGATAGTGCTTAGCACCAGCCCCCAGCCCTCACGAGGCGGCCTTGGCATCCACGTCCATGGTGCCTGGCGGACCCTGTCTTTGCCTGACCCCAGAATGTCTCCATACAGGTGACGGTCACATGGGTGTCAGCTGTGACGGGGCCCCAGTGCAGCAGGTGGGTGCGCAGCTATGGCTGAGAGCCTCGGGGCGGTGGGCAGGGGCTGCGTCAGGACAGGGTGTGAGGGAGGGGGCCCACCCTCACCAGCAGGGCGGCACGGTTGTACACGCGCTCGAAGTCCGGGGCCAGCGGAATCTCCTCAATGCGGAAGGTGACACCAGAGAAGCTGAGCTGGCGAGCGATGTACATGCCACTGACCTTCATGTCCATGGCCACAATCTCCATAGCCCCCACGCCCCTGCGGATGGACACAGGGTCCTGAGTACCTGCACAGGGCACAGCTTACACCTGGGCTGGACAAGAACCAGTAGCCACAAGTGCATAGGCCCAGGGGCAGCTTGTCCAGTGGACGGAGTCAGGAAGCAAGGGAGGGAGAGTTCACTGCCGAGTCCTCCAGTGGCCACACAGAGTGCAGCACGGGGTGAGCGTACAGTGTGCGTGCACGAGCACGGGGTGCGTGGGGTGAGAGTGTGGTACAGAGTGAGGAGAGCGTGTGGTGCAGGCATGCAGCAACACCGTGCAGGGCGAGAGCACAGGGTGTGAGTGGGTGGTGGGAGCGAGGAGCATGAGTATGTGGTGTGAACGTCGGGTAGGAGCGTGGGGTGAGTGGGTGGTGAGAGTATGGGTGTGAGAGGGTGGTGAGAGTATGGGTGTGAGAGGGTGGTGTGAACGTTGGGTGTGAGTGGGTGGTGTGACCGTCTGGTGTGAGTGTGCAGTACCAGCATGCAGCGCGTGCCCATGGGGTCAGCAAGCCGGCCAGGGAGGGAAGGCACCCAGAGCCCTGGCAGGAGCCCCACCTCTTCTCGATGGCGTGCAGGAACTCCTCGAAGGTGCGGAAGGGCGTGCCTTCGCCCCAGATGCCCAGGCGGCTCATGTAGATCATGTTCCGAGGCTCAGAGGCACCTGGGCGGCAGGGGCAGAAGGGGCATCAGCTTCTTCCACCCCGTCAGGGCTGTGGCCTCCCTCCTGCTCAGGGTGACCAGGCCACGGGCCATGCTCAGGACAGCAGGCTGAAGGTCTTCACAAAGTCCCCACTGAGGGTGGTGCGAGGACCCACTCTGGCGCAAGGCCCCAGGAAGCTGGGGTGCAGACCTCACAGCTGCCATGGCCGTAATAGGCAGGCATTGCACCTGATGGCTGCACGGGCGGTCACGCACAGACACTGCTTGCTGGTTGATCCAGCGAGTCCTTCCCGCCCTGGCCTTCCTCACCTGTGGCGCTGGCGTAGACAACCCTGGCCAGGGGCAGCTTGTTCTGAAGATCCAGCACGGCCTTGCCCATCTTGGTGGAGCTGGCGTTCTTGGCTTTGTGGCACTCGTCAAGTACGATCTGAGTAGGCACAAGTTAAGGACTGTCCCAAGACCACTGTACCAGCCACCCCTCATCTCACAGGCCCAGAGGAGTCGGGCCTGGGGCAGGGTTGGGCCTGGTGTGGACCACGAGAAGCCAGTACTGACACCAGTGTCCACAGCGACCACAGCCGCCTGAACAAGGCAGCAGGGGCCACTGCCACGCCATGTCACTGTGACATGGGCCAGAGACGGGCAGGAGGCTTGCTGGAGGCAGACCACCTCACAGAATCTGGTGAGGTCAGTGTGCAGTGTGAGCACGTGGCCTCACCGTGCACGGCAAGTGTGGGTGAGCGGGCAGAGGTGCTAGTGTAACCCATACCTCACCCATAACACGACAGATGCCATGTGGTCACTCACCCACGACACGAAAGACGGTGCGTGGACGCTCACCCATGACATGACAGATGGCGTGTGGACGCTCACCCACAACACAGCGGTCACACAACAGATGCCACCGGATGCCGCGTGGACGCTCACCCACGACACAGTGGTCACATAAACAACCACATGGACGCTCACCTCAACCACAACACAGCAGCCCTCCCTGAACAGGAGGGGGCAGTCACAGACAACAGAGCAGCAGACACAGAGAAGCCGGGCCTGTGACACGCGGGGCACACCCATCTGACACGTCCTAGAGGGGTTTGGATTAGGAAACAAATGTGTTGGGATGTCCTAAGAATGATGGGGCTGGAGGGGAGAGGAGAGGGCCACAGGACTGTCTCCAGAAGTGGCCCAGGATGAAGCAGTCAAGTGAGACCTTCAGGGCACCGAGGCCCCAAGGCACGCTGTGCGGGAGGTGGGGGTCCAGTGCTGGGTGAGGCCAGTGCGTCTCTCTGTGGACACTGTCCACCTTGGACCCGTGGCCCTCCTTCCTCACAACCCCGTCCATCACATCCTGAGGCGAGGGACGGGAATGTTAGAGCCTCCACGGCTTCTCCGCCTTTGGGGCTCCTGGCAGTGTGACCGTGTGGAGACCCCACCCCACCGGGGCCCCGCCTCTACACCTGCCTGTCCATCAAGGATACGACACCTTCGAAGGAGGCCCCGCACCACTCGAGGATCTGGCGGAGGCGGGTGCGGTGCTGGCCGCCCGCCTGGCTCTCCCCGATGAGGGCCGAGTACGTGGCGAAGAGAACGCCCTCTGAGGTAGAGTTGTCACCGTACTTAATCTGGGGGAGAAGCGGGCACGGGCATCAGGGTGGGGCCCTGCCCTCTCCAAGCTCCAGCCCCGCATTGTCAAAGTGCAGCTTGGCCCTGGCACCACTGCCCATCTGTGAACCAGCCTGGACACATGTGCCCCTAATTCCCACAGGGGCTTCAGCTCACCTTCCACACTGACAGTCTACTCTGGACAGAGAGACCCCCATGCTGGACAAGAGAGAGGGAGACACCCCCAGAGAGAAGAAGGAAAAAGTCCTGTAGAAGTCGGGGGTGGGCATGAGGACAGGAGGCTGGGAGGCGACGTGAGGGGCGTCTGGGGACCCATCCTCGGCATAACAACACCCACCTTGCTCAGTGCGTGCACAGCAATGCCAGGGGCCTCGATGTCCCGCAGGTCGCGCTCCGCGTCGTACTTGAGGTCATTGGAGACGCTGAACCTGGGTGGGCATGGTGTCAGGTGGCGGTGCAGGTGCCCACCCCGCCTGCGGAGAAGGTTCCTCCACTCACCACAGGGACTTCTTCCTGCCCTTCAAGTAGTTCTCCACGATGATGCCAGCCACCGTGCGGCCCTTGCCCACGCCAGCCCCGTCACCGATGAGGAAGCCGGCTCGCTGCCCGCTGGGGAGCAGGACCTCATGTTGCTGTGGAGAGAGGGCAGTCGGGGCTAGGGGTGCTGAGTGGCTGATGTGAGGGTGTGCGGTGTGGGAAGGGAGCAACCAGGGCCTGGGGGGTTAGGGCCTGGGGTGACCCCACCAGAGTGTGCATGTGGTGCAGGGATGGGGGGGGTCAGGGTCTGGGGTGACCTGGCTCGAGCGTGGGTGTGCCCACCTGGCAGGCGTAAGTGATGGCCTCCAACTGCAGGGCGGAGAGAGCCCCAGAGTCCAAGGTTGAGGTGGGCAGAGACAGCAGGTAGGTGACATCAGGTGGTGGCACGCTGGACAGGGTGCTGGTCTCCACCACACGGTCCGGGTGGTGCTTCCCGATCTTGGCTGGGGGACAAGAGCCAATGTGAGGGCTCACTCCAACCGACTGAAGGCACACTGTTCCAGGGGCCTGGGATATGCGGGAGCAGGGCTCCGCTTCCCTCGCTGTGCCTGCCCACAGTGACTCCCTCCCTCCCTGGGCCTGTCCCTCCCTCCTCGCACCCTGCCTGTAGCCAGCCCCCGACTCACACTTGGCCGGCACGTAGTCCGCGTAGGTCTCTGCATGGCCCAGCTCCTCGTCCTCCTCCTCCTCCGCCTCGTCCTCCTCCTCAGGCTGGCTCTGGGACTGAGAGGGTCACATAAGGGGCCACTGGCCGGGACCAGGAGAGCTCCCCAGCACCCCAGCTCTCCCCTCACTGCCCGTGCCCCACAGCATCACCCCCGTGAGGGGTCAATGCCCTCACATCCATCTGGGTAAGAGCCCCAAGACCCCAGGGCTAGAAGCAGACACTGACCTGGTAGCTGATGAGGAGTGGGGTGCTGGGGAGGGAGGACTCGGGGTCTTCGAGGCCTGGGAATGGCCCGCCGGGCAGAAAGAGCTGTGGAGTGGCAAGCAATCAGCCTGCAGCCCAGGGGACCACCCAAGGAGGCCCCCCAAGCTGGCCCTGACTTCCCCTCAGACCCACCCCTCACCATGAGAACCCTCACTGCTCCACAAGACGTGGCGGGCACCTCCCCTGTAGGGGACAGCTGCTCCCCATCCCCTGGCCTCCAGGCTGGCCTCAGGGAAGGACAGAGCTAGTAGTCCCATCACTGTCCAGTGGAGTGAGCAAAAACCTGCAGCCTAGACTGGGTGAGCCGCACTGTGCAGGAGCCCCACCGAGTGCCCGTGTGAGGGAGCCCTGCTGTGTGCATGTGAGGGTGCTGACCCGGGGACAGACCCGGACAGACACGGGGACAGACCAGGACAGACACGGGGACAGACCAGGACAGACACGGGGACAGACCCAGACAGACACGGGGACCGACCCGGACAGACACGGGGACAGACCAGGACAGACACGGGGACCGACCAGGA